TTATGTCAAAAATTTTTCAGCAGGTTATGAGTATTCTGACTGGAACAAATGTTAAATCTGCAACATACCCACCCCAACCATAAGGGGCTTTGGAAAGGTACCATCAAACACTCAAAATGATGGTTGTGACGTACTGTCATGCATGTCTTCCTGATTGGGACGAAGCGCTGGAGTTTCTATTATTAGTCAGAGATTCTCTAATGAGTCGACTGGTTTCACTTTTTTTTAAACTTAGTTTATGGGCATGAGATAAGTGATCCTCTAAAACTAATTTAAAAAAGTTTTCTAGAACTGATAAGGAGATCCTCGATGTTAGACTCTGTATCTGCATTCTGGAAGCGGTTTACAGGAGTCTGCAAAGTAGATTCTTGGGTGTTCTACTCAAGAACACTTTACAGCATCGCAAATAATCATAAAGTATTGGGCTACCGAATCCTGAATGTTTCAAAAAGGGATGACCTGTTAGTATTACTGCCCTTACAAAGTGCACCATGGTCCATGGTCCATATAAAATAGTCACAAGGGTTGGTAAAGTAACTTTATTTGATTGACGTCCCAGATCGTTGGAAAAAGCATTGGCTGTGTCATATATTGAAACAATACCAGCACCGAGAGGATGATAAAAAAGTGCAGGTATGTCAAGAAGTAAGGCCTGTGAGGATGAAAATGATAGTGGGAATGAGGTAAAAAGAGCCTTGGACCAATCCTGAACCCACTTTCCTGTTAGATAACATTGAACTGGTAGGGAGGTCGCACACCCTGCTTTCATATTTTGAGCCACAACAACAGGGGGACCGAACAAAGCTATTCTTAGAATTTAAAGCACTCTGCAGGTTTTGGAGTAGACCCGCAGCTTGGGTTGTGGGTGTTGAGGTTGGTTGGCTCGCCGAGCTGGTTTGTTGTTCCGCAGACATTTCGTTACCGTGCTTGGTAACATCCTCAGTGCAGCCTCTGATGAAGCGTCGGTGTGTTTTCCCGCCTGGTTTTTAAACTCTGGGGTCCGTTGCGATGAATTGCCTCACTTCCGGGTTTCCTCTGTAGTGGAATGTATATGGGGTCGAGTTCAATGTGTTCATTAATAGCGTGCTTCATGGAGTGCCATGCTTCCAGGAATTCTCGTGCTTGTCTCTGCCTAGCCTGTCCCAGGATCTTGGTGTTGTCCCAGTCAAAGTCGTGGTTCTCCTTGTCCATGTGGATTGAGATGAGTGAGTATTGGTCGTGTCTTTTTGTAGCCAGTTGGTGTTCATGTACTCTTGTTGTTAGTTTCCTTCCTGTTTGTGCGATGTAGTGTTTCTCGCAGTCTCTGCAGGGGATCTTGTCGATGACATTGGTCCTGTCCATGGCGGGGAGTGTGTCTTTAGATCGGGTGAGCACTTGTCGTAGAGTTGATGCGTGTTTGTGTGCTACTCTGATGCCCAGCGGTCGTAGAAGTCTTGTGGTGAGTTCTGACGTGTTTCTGATGTAGGGTAGTGTGATGAGTGTGTCAGGGCGTGTAGAATCTTTCTGATGCTGTTCCTGTAGGCATCTCCTGACCCAGTTCTTTGGATATCCATTATCCCTGAAAACTTGGAAGAGGTATTCCTCCTCCTCTTGGCGTACTTCCATGTTGCTGCAGTGTGTTGTTGCCCTTTTAAATAGTGTTCACACTATTTTCATCTCAATCCACATGGACAAGGAGAACCACGACTTCGACTGGGACAACACCAAGATCCTGGGACAGGCTAGGCAGAGACAAGCACGAGAATTCCTGGAAGCATGGCACTCCACGAAGCAGGCTATTAATAAACACATTGAACTCGACCCCATATACATTCCACTACGGAGGAAACCCGGAAGTGAGGCAATCCATCGCAACGGACCCCAGAGTTTAAAAACCAGGCGGGAAAACACACTGACGCTTCATCAGAGGCTGCACTGAGGATGTTACTAAGCACGGTAACGAAACATCTGCGGAACAACAAACCAGCTCGGCGAGCCAACCAACCTCAACAAAGTACTCTGCGGATATAATATCAGCTTTAGCCCAACATAATATGGATGTAGGAGAATTTTCCTTTATGAAACAGCATCTTTATGGTTTACATATAGAGAAACATACCCAGGTGAAACTAGAAATCCAAAATATTACCAAATCAGCTAAGGGTTCCTGCGGTGTATTAGTAGTGTCCCTACCGCTGAGCCAGGAGGACAAGGTTTAAGTCCCACCTGCTGCAGAGGAAGATAATAACATCTCTGTGCAGCTTCATTAGAAAACATCCAATTTAATCCCAGAAAAAGTACCTGCAGTTCCCCAGTCATGTGAGGCTGGGTTGTTAAGCATACTCAGGTTGAAATTGACAAAATTTTAAATAGTAAGGGAATCAAGGGTTATGGAGAAAAGTCTGGAAGGTGGTGTTGAGGATTATCAGATCAGCCCTGATCTCATTGAATGGTGGAGCAGACTCAATGAGCTGAATGGTCTACTTCTTTTCTACATCCTATGGTTTTATGGTTAGTGCCTAAGCCTAGTGGTTCAACCAGATTCTGTACAGAATACAGAAAGGTCCATACAGTAACAAAGGCAGATTCTTACCAAATTCCTTGAACGAATGACTGTATTAATGGGGTTGTCAGTGCCAAATTGCTTCGTAAAATAGATTTGTTAAAGGAATATTAAGAGGTACCTTTAATATCCTAAGCTAAGGAGAAATTGGCCTTTGTCAAACCAGATGGTCTTTCCCAATGCTAAGTGATGGCATTTGGGTTAAACAATGCCCCATCTACTTTTTAGAGACTGTTGAGCTAGTGATGATCCGTGTTCCTCACTGTGTAGTATGCCTTGGCGACATATTGATAGATGCTGACACTTGGACAAACCACTTGGAACAGTTAGAAGCTGTGTTTAGAAAAGTTCAATCAGCTGATTTGGCAATAGAACTTGTTATGAGTGAGTTTGCAAAGAGATGGGAAACCTACCTGAGGTATATACTAGAGCACAGAAAAATGCTGGGAGGAATAGCAAAGGTACAAACTCTAGTGGAGTTCTCTGCCCCTAAAGCTAAACAAGAAATGCCATGGGCTTTGAGCATGTGTGGTTCCAATTGCAAATTCTTACCAAATGTCAGCACTATAGTTGCTCCTCTAATGGACTTGTTTGAAGAGAAAGCCAAGGTAGTGTGGCCAATCATCTTTTAAGAGATGAAAACATTTTGATCAATGAATTTTTCTTGGCTGCCCCTAATTTCATTAAACTCTCCAAGGCAGCAAGCAATCCTATTGACTTGGGGTAGGTGCAGTTCCAGTGAAATACTTTTCTAAAACACCAAAAGAGATACTGAATGGCGGAAAAACAAACCATGGGATTGCTAACAGCTCTGAGTCATATGTCTGTCCTGACTACAGGAAAGGATTTTCATATATTGATCATAGTCCTTCAGCCTTCAAAAATTCAAAAGTCAAACTTTTGATGTGGAGTTTGCTACTATAGCTTTATTGCTTAAAGATTGTTCACACTGCGTGGAAAAACATAATTGTCAATGTTTTGTCAAGAATGTAGCTATGTCTGAATGATCTAAGTAACCAGAAGTTGAAGTAACGAAAAAAAGCTATAAGGATTAATAAGCAGCTAAATATAGGGGTGACAGCTATATTTTAAACTCCACCTGCCACTCCTGGGCCCATCAGCCCATATGAACAAGGTCCCATTGTACTCTACATTCCCTACACTTACCAGCCTTGCCCGTTGTACCAGCAGGAACATATTGTCTTTGCACTCTCGTTATTTCATTTTTAAAGGCCTTCCATATTCCACCTGTGCCTTTACCTGCAAACATCCTTCCCCAGTCAACTTTTGAAAATTCCTGCCTGATCCCATCAAAATTGGCCTGACTCCAATTTAGAACTTTAACTTTTAAATGAGTTCTGTCCTTTTCTATAACTGTTTTAAAACTAATAGAATCATATTCACTTGCCCCAAAGTGCTCCCATGCTGACACCTCAGTCACCTGTCCTGCCTTATTTCCCAAGAGAAGGTCAAGTTTTGTTCCTTCTCTGGTAGGTACATCCACATATTGAAAAATAAAAAAATTCTTGTGCACACTTAACAAATTCTTCTCTATCCAAGCCCTTAAGACAATGGTAGTCCCAGTCAATTAAGAAAGGTGATAAGGAAAAGCCAGGGAACTATAGACTGGTGAGCTTGGCATAAGTGGTGGGTAGGTTGTTGGAGGGGATTCTGAGGAACAGGATTTAAATGCATTTTGAAAGACATGGACTGATTAGGGATAGTCAACATGGCTTTGTGCATGGGAAATCTTGACTCATTAACTTGATTGAATTTTTTGAAGAGGTGACAAAGTAGCTTGATGAAGGCAGAGTGGTAGATGTTGTCTATATGAACTTTTTTTGTTCATATGTTTTGGGTTATTTAGAGGGTTAACAGTTATATTTTCATATTCTAATTTGTGTGTGTTAACCAGTTTTGCATAAACATTGAAAACATTTTGTTTATGAAGAGTTAATAATTTTGTGGTTATTTAATAAACTGGATCTTTTTCTTTTTAAGTCAAAGAGAAATAAAGCATACAACTAGTCACATTGAAAACCAGATAAAGTAATTATATTTATGTTGTGACCTATAGATTAGTGAGACTAGATAAAGACAATGCACTGCTTCCATGTTGCTCAGAACACCATGTTCCTTACTAAGATCACTATGTGTTTTGATAGATGGACGCAAAAGAGAACCCAAGACATTTATTGTAAAACAAATGGGTTTTCTGGCTTCAACCTCCATTCTCATTTCTTTAACCTCCGGTTTCTCTCAATTTCAGTATGGAACTTGAGCCATACGGTCACATTTCTTCACCAGTACTGTTAATTGCTGTGCAAATAGTATTGCTTTAGTACTGTTTTCAGAATGATAAAATGAACAATGTTCCAAGTTGGTTGCAATGCTGGGAATAATCCTATCATTGAATGTTCTAACATCTGAAATTTGTGATTTGTTTCTATTTCAACAGGTTACACTGGATCACACTGTGAAGTCGATATCAATGAATGTGCAACAAAGCCTTGTTTGAATAATGGCACATGTTTGGAACGCTCCACTCAAAAGTATTATGGCCATCTCCCACAGTTCAAGCCCACTTTCAGTTATGCTGATGCATCTGGCTATATTTGCCTTTGTCAACGTGGCTTTGCAGGTCAGCCTAAACTTGAAACCTAATATGAAGATTTCATGTTTAGAAATGGTGTAGAATACAGAAAATAGACTTAACTCCCTTTTTACACTCGGTACACTTGAAATTGCAAATTAATTTGCTTCCAAAAAGGGCATTGATTTTAATATTCAACTCTTTTGATATCGCTTCTTAGAGGTTGAGGTGGAAATATTGAATAAGGACAATGGTGCCTTTCATTGCTAACTCTATTAAACATTTTAGAGCAATTTACAGTATGTATGTGGGCAGTTTTGTACCTATACAATAATATAAAAGTTGCATTTCTGAGGTCACAATTTTAGCCAGAAAGTAGTGGTCAACTTAAGTAATATTTTTGAGGGATTGAAGTCTACCTTCTCTTATCACCTTGCTTTCTCACCAAACTCACATAAACCTCACTGTTTATGACAGTAGTAACAGAGATAACAGTGTGGTGTTGGAGGAACACAGCAGGCCAGGCAGCATCAGAGGAGCAGGAAAGCTGACATTTTGGGTCGGGACCCCTTTTCAGAAATCAGAAAGTCTGAAGAAGGGTACTGACACGAAACGTCACCTTTCCTGATCCTCTGATGCTGCCTGGCCTGCTGTGTTCCTCCAGCTCCACACTGTATTGTCTATGTTAAGTAACTAGTTAAGTTACCTGGTGAGATAATTGCTCATTGGTATACTAAATGAAACTTTCATGACCTATAGAAAAGGCAGATAACCACAAGCAAGTCAAGTTCAGAAGAAAATATCCATTCCAGCAAAAAGACGTTATTAGTTTGTGGAAGCCTGTAGGTCATCAGAATTGAATAGAAGTTTTAAACTGTTTTAGCAGCCTCAAAGTAGTCAAAGTCGGTGAGTTGGCCTGCCTGTTTGTCTCAGGAAGAGATAGTAATGGACTGAATCACATCTGGGGAAGAGAGAGAAAGTTATTGAAGGGAGATGCTTGCAACCTATTCTATTGAGGATGAAATTTTAAAATGAGTTAGGATTGACTCTTCATTGGAATTGAGTGTCTGTGAAGGATGTTGCTGGGAAAAGGGGCTAAATCATTCTTCTGCTGTTTATGATAAGATCTTTCAAAATTGTTTTCTATATATATGGTTTTGTCTTGTAAAATGAACTTAGGTTCTTTTGTTAAAATTACATTGACAGCCTGTGTGAATATGTTCAGTGACTGACAACCACTGTAATCGAATTACCGCAATAACAATTACAATCTATTAAGTTAGGTTTTGGTCTGAAATCGGACTTTTCCAGCATTATCACCAGCTGGGGTAACAGCTATGTCATGATGCCATATTGTCATATCAGAGGGTGGGATGGATGGGAACACAAAATGCAGGAATGAGATGGTAACCATGACAACACATGTTGATGTACCCAGTCATGAGGAGCTGAACACTTTCAAATGGCTAGGTTTATAACTGGGCAAGTTTCTCTTCAACATCAAGCAGATGCTAAGTAAAAAGAGTTTGGATTTTTTTTGAGGGTTGACTCAACTATTCAAGTATATGTGGTATGTGAATTTATTTTTAATGCCTCTTAAAGGCAACAATGGTTTGGATTAAAATCATTTACATTATTGCTGGCCTGAATCAGTTTTTCTGTTATCAAGTATAAAAATACTATCGAGACAACAAGGTGCAGGGCTGGATGAACACAGCAGGCCAAGCAGCATCATAGGAGCTCTGCTCCTATGATGCTGCTTGGCCTGCTGTGTTCATCCAGCCCTGCACCTTGTTGTCTCGGATTCTCCAGCATCTGCAGTTCCTACTATCTCTGATAAAAATACTATTTCCAGCTTTAAATACCAGAACAGAGTCACCTTCCTTAGAATCAAAATCTTTCAAAATTATCCATCATTTCACCAATGGTGAGTTATGTGTTCTACTCATGAGATAAATAGGCATTCTACAAATTGATTATTAATTTGTCCAGTGAACATGAATCAAGTTTACATTTTTAACACCTGAATGTTGTCCATCTGGTTTTTTGGGAAATTTATTTTAAAAGGGCAGAAATCTGCAGAATTTTAAGGTGGGACAATGGGCTATTTTTCTCCCGTTTGTACTCAGCAAAAACACTACACCATACTGTTTTAGTTGCTATGCTGTAGTTTCCCTTTCCAGTGTTTCACAGCAAGAGCATTAAGCTAGCAAAGGGATTGACCTGTTCAAGTGCTGAAATGACCAAAATTAGAATCCTGAAATCTTAGAAGATACAGCACAGAAGAATGCTATTCAGCCCATCATACCCATGCTGGGTCTTTGAAGGAATTATCCAATTGTTCCACACTCCTGCTTCTTTCACATAGTCCAGCAAAGCTTTCCTGTTCAAGTGCATATCTAATCCTTTTGGAAAGTAAACTTTAAATTTGATTCTACCATTTTTCAGGCAGTGAATCCCAGATCATTACACCTTGCTCCGAATCAGAATATTCTAGTTCAAGAAACACCATCAGCTTCATCACATGCTCCTAACAACAGTGCCACGGCAACATTATATAACAATTATGCTGTAATGGCAATAAATAGACTCGTATAGTCCATTTATCAACATATTCGAATCCTAGGCAAATAGCTAAAATCTTTTATAGAGATGAGAAATATTCAGGTCTGAATAATACCCCAATAAACGTGCAAGCTAAACTTAAACTGTCCTAAACAGTGAATACTTGTTTGTATATTTATTGAAAATACACATTTCTCAGTGTCATTTCTCAGAGTTGTGGTCACAAGCCTTGCCCAAATCACAGCTTCAGTCATGTCTGACTGAATCAGTTCAGAGAGGATCAATCGGTGACCCTGCACTGATCAACTGAAGTAGCTGCAGCTAGATCCAATGCAAAAGATTTCTGTGAGTCTAACAAAGATGACTGTTTTACAAGATATCATTGAAAAATCTGGTGACACTATTGTGCTATTATGCTGTTGAAGCACACTGGACAGATTGTACCCCTTTTGAATATTCTGTGTCTCTCAAAATCAGATTCCTGGACGTTTCTGAAATAAAATGTGAAATACCAAAATTGTTAGGTTTTTCAAATACAGTTATTTTTACCTTCCAGTTTTGTGTCTTTTATTTGAACACTTAACAATAAGGTGTTTGATTGTCAATGAATGTTCATAATTCGTAAAGCAAGTATCAAAACTTGAGCCACGTTGTTTCTACCTTCTTGATATTTTGTATCTGTCCTGTCCAGGTTGGACTTTAGCAAATGGTGATATCTTAGCTCAATAGGGGATAAATAGTTGATCAGACTGCTACTATAATTCAATGTAAGAATGATCTATTGCCCGTTCCTAGATTGCTTTGTGTTTGACATTGTTCAACAAAGCCCTTTACTATTAAGGGTTTAACATGTGACTTCTGACACTTTGCAGCAATATCTTCAGGTCATGTGAAGGTGCTTAAATAATAATTCAATTTGTAGACTGTTGAGAATTTTTTTATGTAACAAGAGTTTTAATCATTCTGTTTTTTTTCTGGAAGGAGAGCATTGCTCAGTGAACATCAATGAATGTGAGTCTGGTCCTTGTATGAATAAAGGCACTTGTGAAGATCAGAACAACGGATTCAAGTGCCATTGTGCACCGGGATTTACAGGTAATAGTCCTAGTATTTCAGATTATTTTTCCCCAAAGGGTTTTGCTCCATACTGAGGAATATATACACAACTGTGGGATGCTTCCTGGTCTGAGTGGCCATCATTTGTGTGCATGTCTCAAGATGTAGGTACACGTTCAGTCAAAATATAAGACTTTCAACACTTATGTTTCATGGACTGAAGCAGTAATAGACCTGCCACAGTGCTTTTCCATCAGTTTAAAGTAAGTTCTCTTCTCCTATTCTCTCTACTTGTAACCAGCCACTCAAATGACATATGATTTATGGTGATTCACATCTATCCTTGATGAGGAGCCATTCAGTAATTGCTTTTTTAAAGACAAACTATGGGAATTTTTTTTCTACAATATTCAATAAGGCCTTCATTGTAAATGGTCTGTGTTTGGAAATTTGTCCCAGTAATAAGCCACACAAAAAAAAAACACACTGGGATACAGCACTCCTCAAAATAATCTAATTCAAATGTAAAAATTCAGCATCTGTCAGAGAATGAACAATTTACCAATCAGTACAAACTATATGCACTGACAGTGAGCTTTGTACCTTGTTTTCTGGTGACATTGCCCTACAAGGCAAACAGAGCCTTAGAGGTGGACATTTTAAAATAGTGTAGATTATCTAACATAAGGAATTTCCCATTTCACACCAAATCGAAATGAGATATTCTCCATCTTTGACTTTAACATATTTTTAAAAAGCTATTCTTGTTGTCTGAAAGCAAATTGAGCAAAGTGTATAGTCTGGAGAAATGATTGTATCCAGGACAATTTTCAGATTCAGTGTTGTAACTGAAGCATTAGTGCAGGAACTGCATAAAGATTTCAGCATGAATTCAGAGTCGTAGCTGTGTTGTTTAACTAAGAGGAAAAATAAATTGTCTTGGCTGACAAATAAATGTTAGAACAAGCGCACATCATGCAGTTAGTCATCTTTCATTGGTTACAGCTTGAGGGTGCCTGCATACAAAACATTTCCTTCAGATAGGCTTAAATTATTCAACAATTGAATACATATTGGGATTTTTTTTAGTATCAGAATATATATCTTGAAATGAAATTGGACAAATATATACTATTCTGCAGGTAAGAAGTCTGCTCATTTAATGCTCAGGACCACAGACATCAAAACTCAGCAAAAATAATCATTGTGCAGACCTTGGTTGTCTCTGAAAGCAAGTATAGAACAAGTATAGAAGGCTTCTTGTAACTGGCAATCATTTGGTAAATTGTGTGAGATATTCATTTCCACATTTACAATATTATTCTTTTACTTGACAGCTTGCCAGTAGATAAAATTCAAAATAATTAACAGCAAAAATCAGTGTAAGTGTTTGCTCTATGTTCTGTCCAAAAGGAAATACATGCAATCAACCATTTTGAAATGAGCTAATACCCGTACAACATGAGATGCTTCCTTTGATGACCTTGATCCTGTTACATTATTATTTAATTTATTTTATTTGTGTATTAATAAATTTAAGCTTAAAATATTGCATGTTGCAAATTCTTTGGGCTGAGTTTTCCCATAGGGTTTTAGAGTAGATTTGTAGCTCAGGTTGTGGATGTTGAGGTTGGTTGGCTCGCTGAGCTGGTTCGTTGTTCCGCAGACGTTTCATTACCTTGCTGGGTAACGTCATCAGTGCAGCCTCCGATGAAGCGCCGTTGTGTTTTCCCGCCTGTCATTTAAACTCTGGTGTCCGTTGAGCTGGATTACTCCACTTCCGGTTTTCCTTCGCAATGGAGTGTATATGGGGTCTAGCTCTATGTGTTTATTGATGGCTTTCTTCGCGGAGAACCAGGCTTCTAGGAATTCCAGTGCTTGTCTCTGCTTCGCCTGTCCTAGGATCCTGGTGTTGTCCCAATCGAATTGGTGGTTTCCCTTATCCATGTGGATGGAGATGAGTGAGTATTGGTCGCATCTTTTTGTTGCCAGTTGATGTTCATGTACCCTTGTGGTTAATTTCCTTCCTGTTTGTCCAATGTAGTGTTTGTCACAGTCTCGGCAGGGAATCTTGTATATGACATTTGGTCCTGTCCAGAGTGGGTAGTCGGTGTTTGGTTTGGGTGAGCAGTTAGCATAGGGTTGATGTGTGTTTGTGTGCTACTCTGATGCCCAGTGGTCGTAGGAGTCTTGTGGTCAGTTCAGATGTGTTCCTGATGTAAGGTAGCGTGATGAGTGTGTCGGGGCGAGTGGTATCGTTCGTGTAATAGGCATCTTCTGACCCAGTTTTTCAGGTATCCATTGTCTTGGAATGTTTGGAAGAGATGCTCTTCTTTTTGTTTTCCCATTTTGTGCTGGTGTTTTTTCAAGTGAGGTTCACAGGGCCTGTCTGCCATTGCCCATGACCATATTTCTCACACAATCTTCTTTGTCTCAGTAATAATGCACATTGGTCTGGTAGAATCATGAGAGAGGAGTGTTGGAAGTGCTCACTGCATTGGGAATTTGAGACGTTCATGCCGCTGCATGGTGTTTAGACCCTACTGGAGCAATACTTCACGCACTGCAAGCCAGAAATGCCCTTCACACTGTGACCCTGCTCCTTTGTCCCAAAGGAAATGGCCTAGAAAGGTAGGTTCGCTTCTTGGCTTATCTATAGGGACCAGGAAGTTCTGGTGGACAAGAGGACATCTCCTGCTGACCAGCAAAGGAGGCCACGCTCCCAGTCTCGACCAGCCTGGACCAAGGTAAAGGCCCAGATCAGTGTCCTGAGTGAAACACAATGCACAGTAGTGAACTTCTGTACTCCAAAAGGGTAAGAGCCTGGCCTATCCCTAGCTCTGGAATCAGACAAGCCCTTTGACCTGAATGTGGCAGTACCCTGACTGACTGTACTTGACCCTAGTAAGGACTACTCATCTTTGACTTTCAGGCACGGCTACATAGTTGAAGCACATGCAGTTGCTTACCTTGTAATTTCTGGCATGTGCTGTTGATGTGATCTTGATGGAGCATGGTCTGTACTGCAACATGTGCACCCCTTTTGACTGTTCAGTGTTCCTCACTGTGCTGAGCTTCCCCCTCTCCCAATCCGCTAAGAAGCACTGCAAACCACAGAGGCCGAATAAGTGCAAAGTAAGTGAGTGCTACGAAATGAAGTTAAAAGCCATAAGAATAATCCAGCACGGATGCATGAAGTAAGTGTGTGTTTTCCAGTAGGCAAAGTGACCTGGCAGAAGCAAATTTTAACTGTCTGTAAGCTCGAAATTGAAGTCCTGATTGGTTGAAGTGGTGTATGAGTTGGTCGAAGAGCAGGAATGATTGTGTGGTGAGGCTGGAAGTTTGGTCACACTGATTAGTTTGGATAAAGAGTGGAGGAGGGTGGTGTCCCATGGAGCAGGAGGGACATTTCAGACAGAGTAGGTTGAAGATCCAGAGAAGCACACAGTGAGCTGCTGCTGCCAAGTACTTACTCTGACTCTCATGTCGGGAATTGGTGCTATTCTCTTTCCGAGGAAAGGAGGCAAGAATTGAGAGCTGCTGCAAATGAGGCGAGTTGAACTAATAATAAGATGCAAACGTATGGAAATAAGGTAGTCACCACTCATTAGTGAGAGTCTGAATTCATCATTTAAACCTTTAGGGACAATCCATTCTTTTTCTCAGTGTTGAAATTCTGATTTCATTTTTGCTGTATTTTTCCATGGTTATCATCAATCTCCATGCTACTTAAGACAGAGCCATAATCTGTCCTTTGAAGCTTGTATTGCAGGGAGATATTTCTGTTCTGATGGACCCTGAGCTTTACAATTTTGTGCAGATGGTATATTTCTGCTGTAGGTACATTGTGAATGAATATTTGTATCGATGGGATCGAAAACATAGAAACTAGGAGAAAGATTAGGCCATTCGGCCCTTTGAGCCTGCTCAAAGCTCAATCTGGTCAAAGTTCAATGGGTTTTCACTCAGATGAAATGTAAAGTCAAGCTGTACAGGAGCAGGACATTACGCTGCTCATGAAATTCAAGGCTGGTAATATCCTACTTAAAACATCCTACATCATCAAGTAAAACAGTTTAATAGCTAGTTCAATCTTCAATTTGCAACATTGTTGTGACTCACTTTAAAGAACAAATACTAATTATGCTGCAATATTCATCATTTTCAAATGAACAGTAAATAGCTAGAGAAATTTTCAGTCAGTGCACTGTACATACAATAATACAGTGCATATACTGGAAGAGATTTAATAGAATCATTTGGCAATGAATTCCGTCTCTGTAATCTTTAATTCTGTAAGACCTTTAACAAAATATCTTGCAACACGTTGTATTTCCGAGGTTTTCACTGAAAACCCCAGTTGCTCTCTGCTGAGATTTCTAATGCAACATTCCAACAAGGGGTAGTTGGTCATTGACCATTGACCCAAATTTGATTTGCCTTTTGGAAAGTGATGATGACTTTTACAGCCATGGAAGTTGAGCAAGTTTTAGTATCGAAAAGATACGAGAATCTAAAATACAAGGTCACATTCTCAGTTTTGCAGAACAATTTCTTTTTAGAAAAAAAGGAGTTTGGTGGAACTGAATAAACAGCAGCAGGTGGTTTAGTCACACTGACCCCTCTCATAAATTCAGTGGACTGAATGAATGTGCGTGGGAGCGAAGCTGACAGCAAAATAATAGAGGCTAATCTTCTCTGCAGTGTAAATTAGGCAAGGCATGGCCACACTGTTAAAACTTCTGCTTGCAGCTTATTACATCAAATTAGCATCACAGAACCAACGAAAAGTTTCACAAACATTTCAGTTGGGAAACACAGCAAATCAAAGAGGAAGACCTCAGATCTCTAGTGAGTCAGAACCTGATCAGACTTTAAAGCTTTGACTGAACACCTCATGCTGACCACTTTCAGATGGAACAGATTATGATTAAATTAACCCGTGACCCAAGTCAGTTGAGTCCATGGATTAGGGAAGCTGATAATGACTATAAAACAAGAGCCTGAATCAGCATAAAATATATTCAACAAACAGTTGT